AAAAAAAAAAAAAAAAAAAAAAAGGGCAAAACAAATCCTATGGCTATTTCAAAATGCAAAAGCCCCTAGACGAATGCACCTTCCTGTAACAGTGAAGGAATTTTATGTTAGAAGAAGAACTAAATCATACGGGGAACTAATGGTAGGAAAACACCCAATAGATATTCATACACAGTCAAAGGTAGCCACATACCCAAAAAGATACAAAAGAATCCAACAGAAGTCGTCAAATTAAAAAAGATGATGAATAAAAAAATTGTGTGGGAGGGCTTTAATAGGAAAGTAGAAAGCAGAGTCTTTTTCTTTTTTTGACAAAAAAAAAGTAAAGCCTGAGCTAAAGTCCCTGCAGAGTGCAAGACAAGCTTCAGAAAAACTTCTTGACTTCCAGCCAGCATTTACACACTAAACACATCTACTTTCACATTTTTCTCTGAAAACCAACTTGGTTACAGAAAATAAAGCTAAGCTTAGTATTCACACATCTAAGCAACAGATGTGGCCCAAAGAGTCCAATGCATATTTATTTATTAACAGTGACTCACATCCATTCATGAAGGAAGGACATGGGGGTATTGCTGCACTATATTCTGTGAATCAGGATCTGAAGTTGGATTACACACAGGGAATTTAAATTAGCTGCTGTGTAAGCTCAATTTCATAACTTATATAGCTTTGTGTTCCTCTATTTAATGAATTTTTCAAGGACTGTAGTGAAAAGTATACAGATCTCAAAATAAGCAGACAAATAAGTTTTCAGTAGTAGTAAATGCCTCATTTTCTTCTCCAGGGTTGGGTATCCTCTTATAACCTCTGCTGCACCCTACACCGCTGTAACTGGCTATACCCACAGCAGCTGCTGAGCCCTTTAATTCTACCTTGCCTCTGCTCCACGCTGATTACTGCAGAGCAAGAGGCAGCGCTGAAACTTTCCTACCATCCCAGACAGGAAAAGGCTGAGTCATGGTTGGCTCTTTTCTTAGGCTTTTTTTCAGTGGAAATCGGGAATTTTCAGGAAATGATAGATTTTTAAAAATACAGAATTACTTATCTGAATGTCTAGTGACATCAAATTATGAGAGGAATAAGGTGGTGTTCACTATGTACAATTACTGAATACACTTAACATATTATGCATGCATATTTGAACCACAATGTACCTAAGACAAAGCAAAGAATTAAATGCTTCTGCAAACATCACATTCTCTGCTTCCTTCTCAAAGCAAGTAGGCTCATAAAAAGAAAATCAGAGCCAAATCTATGCCCAAGCTTGCTTTCTTTTCAGCAATGAACCTCGCAAGAGATTTCTTTAATTAAAGCCCATTTTCCAAACAGGAGAAGCTAAAGTTTGTGGTAGGCAAAACTTCTACAGAAAATGAACTATGCTACCAGTTTCACCATTTCAAAAATTAAATATGCACTTCCTCTTGATTTAGCTTCCCCACAGTTCATTCATGCATTGCTCAAAAAGCAGATGACAAATACGTCACCTAACAAAAATCTAAAAGAGGTCAAGCTGTTTCTTCAATAGGATAAAGTTTATTAACATCATTTATTAACACCATTTGGAAGATATTAATATCATGGTGACAGCGGATGTTATAAATGTTATATGGACAATGATGCCTAAGTAGGAACATTAACTTCAGATTAAAAACCTGCAATTTATAATGTGTGTTTCTTTCAGCGCTAGACTGAACATCAGCTTTTATCTGTGTATTTTTTCCAATGACAAAAAGTTCAACTCACAACCAAATAATTTTTTCTCTCTGGATTTAAGACTGACTAGATGAGATACTCTCCATGTTCTGCCCCTCACCCCAGCCAACATTCAGCTGCAGAGTCCACTGTGGTAGTTCCCACACTATTTGTTACATGCTGCTGTTTTATGGAGCGGAAGCTCTCCATGCTCTGAAAAGAAAATTGGTGACCCACCAGGTGTTGGAAGGCTCTTTCTGACCACCTTGGGACTAGAGTGCACTTGGAAACAAAAGTGCACTCTTGATTTAAAAGGCAAGCAGCAAATCAACAAACCTTGGGGCTCAACAGAACTCGCAATCCAGTGTAAAATTCCTTTACAACTATTTAAGATCATCCTTTCTTACTATTTTCCTCAATTTAAAGGAATTGTCTTGTAGAGCAGTCTCTATTTCTCCTGTGGTCATCCAACTCACTTGACTGAACATCTTAATCTGTCAGATATAAAAATGTTCAGGTAACATTTCCGTTTATTTACATGCAGTGACAATATTTAACGTACTGCTAAAATCAGTTACTAAAAATATATGTCAAGCAGAACCTACTCCCAAATCCCACTGAGACATTGTAGCTCAGGCCTTCAGGCAGCAAAAGAAAGGAAGGAAAGAGACAGTTGTTATTGTATAAACATTAATTTGATGTCTTACCTGCATAGACCGACAATGGTGCAAGAAGTTCCCACTGTTCCATTTTTTTTAATACATTTTGCAAATATTAGAAATGCTGCATTTATTAGTGTATGAATTTCATGAAACACTGTTTTTGGAAAAAAATCTACAGTACCTTAAACTGGTGAGTTTGTGATACACATTTGTACTAATGTACAAAACCACATTAGGAGAGTCTTAGACAAATATTTCACCTGCATCTTTTGGAGAATGTGGGGAGGGACAAATGCACTAGTATACTATGTATGTTAGGTGACTAGCTGAAGAGTAATCCATAGAAACCAATTTGGGACCTTCAGTTCTGGAAAGCATCAATAAGAGAGCCAGTTCCAGGAAGGCGATTGAGAATGCCTACAACGGGCAAGCTAAAGAGGAAATACACCACACCAGGCCACACGGGTGAACAGCCTAGGTTTGTCAGAAGGTCTCTTCAGCTTTGTCAAATGTTTTCTTCTAGATGGAAAGGTTAGGTGGAAAAAACACAGAGCCAAAAAAATAGAAGCCTAAACCACACTATCTCCCACCCCCAGTAGCACTGATAGGAAGCTGTAAACAACAAAGCCTAATGATGCAAACACCAACAGTGGAGTAGCATAATTTACAGTGGTTAAAGAAGACACAATTAGGTGTAATGGGAAGAAAAGAAGCAAAAAGTAAATGTAAATTAAATATTGCACATTTTCCTAACAGCGAGGTATATTAGGAAGCAGATTAATCTCCCATTACTTGAGTAATTCAAAACCAAATACAATACTTAAGATGCTACAGGGAATAAACCTGTTCTGGAGAGATGGACTAGAAAATTTAAGATCATTTACATTTCCAATTTCTCAAAGTTTATGATTCTACAGAAAAACATTAAAAATACAGCGATAAAATCCATGGAAGTTACAAGACGTACAAAATTAATAAATAAAATTTGTTGAAAAACATAATGGACAATATCCTGTGTATCATTTTATACAACTGTTTAAATAAAATGGTTCAATTTTTTTTGCCTGTGGGCTATGGAGACAATTTGATTATTTGCAGTATTTAAAACTTTTTTTTTTCAGTATACATATTTGACTTAAGAGTTTAAAGAGTCTAGTGATTTTTGGTTTCAACTTAATATTTATTAGAGGTTTCTAATTTTGCGAATGTGCTAAACAGCACATTCACAAAATAACTGTCATTAAAAAAATTATAGCCAAGCTTTTCTTAAACGCAGATATTCCCTCAAAAACTAAACAACGCAAGCTGTCCTCTTGAATTTTTACTAACCTGGAAGACTCCACAAGCCAGCAATTTCCAAAGTTCTTAATTTCTTTTCTAGTTCTGCCACTCGATTACCTAGAATTCTTCAGAAAAACAAAAACAAAAGCCAGGGATAGTCAGCTGAGATGAGATTCCTTGTTATACTAAGGTAACCAAAGCCCAATTGCTTACATGACTACAGTTGAATTTTTAACTTGTTACTTAACTAGTGCAGTAAACGTGTATACAGTCATCTCTTTTCACTAATGGAAAACCTCCCCCAGAGTTAAAAGAAAATGAAATATAGTTGTCTAATCTGTACTGTAGTTTAAAAAAAAAAAAAGGTCTAGGATGTACTGAACATTCAACCTTTGCCCTTCGGTACAGACAAAGAATAGCAACTCACAATATAAAAAAGGTCATGTACTGAACATTCAACCTTTGCCCTTCGGTACAGACAAAGAATAGCAACTCACAATATTTCTATTTCCTTGCCTGCAAATATCTCTTCCCGGTTACTTTTACTTTCTCTACAGCTAAAACCAGAAGGTAAAAGCTACGCAGACAAAATATGGAAAACTCAGGACAACATCTAGATGGATTGTCAAGTTCTAAGATACAATTTTGGCCTAGTCCTTTATTCACAGAGGTTTCTCCATCACTAAGATTGCTTAAAATGGCAAGGAATATCTTTTCCACTACATCTTTTCTTTTAGTGCTGAACTCTGTTTTCTACTTTGCTAAAAAGCTTCAAGCTCTTTAGTGCCTTTATCACCCACTCTTAGTTTTCACTGCATTTCTTGGGTCATCTCTTCTTTTGTATCTTATTCCTATACAAATACTATCTGCAGTTAGCTTTCCTGCAGGATTTAACTTTTAGTCTTAATTCTCTCCCAAGATCAAATGAGAGATTTCTATCTTGCAAAGAGAGCTCTTCCTTCCAATGAGTTTTTGAAAGTGTTTCTCTCACAGGCACAGCAAGTCTCCTAGAGTTAAAAGTCTTTAAATAAATCCCAAACAATACTCAATAGAGTGAGAAACCTAGACAAGGCAGCAGTTCTAAAATGACAGCAGAGGTAATGGACACCAAGTTTTACTCATCAAATTACAGCAATGGGATAAGTCAGTTAAATTTGAACTGAATGCTGAGAAGCAGCATTTCACAACACAGCAAGGCAATAGTATCTTCTGCTCACCAGAGCTGTGTAATACTGCACCACGTGCTCTCCACCGAGGGTTTTATGCTGCAGACATTTGAGCATACTGGGAATGTCATTACTGACAAGATGGCAGAATCAGGGAAGGACATGAAGAATAGCAAACCCAGCAAATATCAAAGGGGCTAGAAAAAATTATTAACAAGGACTAAATATTTTTTAAATCTCTACTGTGAGGGCTTTGCAGTGACAGAATAAAAGCCTGTAAGTATTTTAAAGATTACAAAAATATCAAGATGAGAGAGAGAATGTAAAAGAGAAAGAGAAAGCTTATAATAAATATCAAAGAGAGCACCGAGAGGTACAGGGGTGTATATCAACTAAAAAGCAAACAGTCCATCACATTTACAAGCAGAGGAGAGAAGACATTTGGGAGCAGTTATGTTTATTTCCCCATCAAAACTCAGTAATCAAATAGGTTACCAAGGTTATGATGGATCTGTTACTGTCTTCTCCAATTACAATCAAAGTTGTTCAAGTCTAGATTTTGCTTTCAGAATGCTTCCATCTGGTATGAGAGACTCAGCCTTAATAACTCCATTTTCATATCCCAGTGTATGGCCCGACATCCAGCAACTGCGCTCTGCAGTACAAAGCAACAGGTGACAGAGAGAGGCACAGAGCAACTTACAAGAAGCTCTACCTTGCACACAGGGAGCCCACTCCCCATCTCCCTGTCTAAGGCCCCAGCAAAGGTCAGCTGAAGGACGTGGAGTTCCCCTGGCTTAGAGGGGCAGGGAACAGAGATGATGCAAGACTTCTTCCACGTCATATTAGGTCAGCCAGGGAGCCGACAAAACAAAATTGATGTAGCTAATGATTGTCACCACAAATGGGTGACAAGTTTAGCACTTCTGCCAGGAAAAGAAAAAATCCTTATTATTTTTGTAAGTAGTTCACCAGTAGTTCCAGGGCAGAAAAGGGGGGAAAAGATACTGCCCTCCCTGTCAGCTAGCTGTACCACAGAAGGAAACTCAACCTTCTGCATCAAGCTCACTTATTGCTACTGCTTTTTTTATTGACAGCAACAGCAAAGTCACATTTGTCTTGCTTCTCTTAAACTTTATAATTCATTTATCAGCTGTACCACACTATTTCTAAAGGTTTTGGAGCAAATATATCCTGGTAATTCCTACTGGATCCTCAGAAGAGGCGCTGAGCTATTTTTTAACCTTTGTTGCAGGTTCTCACATAGAAGGATCATTCTGCAGCTCTGAACAATGGTTGGCAAAAAGAGAGGACAATACTTAACCCTGCTGCTTTCATTCAGGAAGAGAGCAAAATACATTCAGTGATGAGTATGATTCTAGTTTGCTCCAAACCACATTATCTGAAGACAGGTATGGGAGAAATGAACCCTTCCTAAAGCTGCGAGTTCTTATAAAAGCATCTTTTGAGCAATAAATGTGTAAGCAATCCTGAACACAGAGTGGTTTATCCCATTCCTTCCTTTGCCCTGTGACCTCCAGATAATTTGCCACCTCCATATGTGCTGTGGGAAGACTGAGCTGTGGTGGCCTGGAACAGTAGGTATTTTTAAAGGGGCTGCATGGGTTGGTAGCATCAAATTCCCTAACCTATTTTTTTATCTCTAGCCATAGTGGACCAGATCCTTCAACTAAAACAGAAGGATCATGTCATGGACAAAGGTGCCGATAGTTATTTCTGTTGTCCTCTGGTCATGTGTCTAATGCAACAAGGGAGTTAGTCTAAACCTCCCTCCAGGATAAAGTTGCTCCCACCTGAATTTAGAAGCTCCCTTCTAGCTCTCCCATGCTTCCCAACATACATGGCCATAATCTGAAGGGAGCCGTGCTGATTTACAGCACCTGAGCTCCGTTCACCTCACTTTCAATTTAGATCTTGCTACAGAAGGCATATACCCTCATACAGATACAATCACCCAAATGTCTGTAAATAGGGTCTGTCACAGTCATATATCTAGTTCTATACATCATATGAAAACATTTACTCAGTTACAGACTGACACAATCCTTTTCGTAATTCTGGTCACAACCGAGCTTGCCCAAGTTAGAAATGTTAAAATCAGTGCAACATGTTTAAGCAGCAGAGCAGCTTCTACACTGATCTGGCTTGCATGGGTGCTGGCAATTTCAGGAACAAATTGCACTAAAAAGAACATCTAATAAACGGCTTATTGCTGGTAGAAGAAAAAAAGATTTTTATCCACTTGCTAGGTAGGGTTAGGACTGTTTATTTTTGCATTTATGTAACTATTTAATCTTGCAACACATTACTGCATACAGAATTCATTTACAGCTGCCCTTCCAAATTAAACTAATGTGCTTGTGAGGAAAAACATAGGATGTTACTTAAACTTAGCAGTAGTAGCTACCAATCACCTGGGGAAAATGACCTGTTTTCTTCCCAAACAACTTCTTTTTTTCTTAAAAGTGGCGCTAAAAAAATTAAAGGCTGGATTTAGCCCACTTGTTCCTAGGCACATACTCCCACAGCTCCTTTTATCATGCCACGTATTTAGAAAAGCGGCAATAATAATAGTGTGTCTGTTCCAAGAGCAAGTGGCAACGGATGTTTTCAACAACAGTATAACAGCAGAAAGTCAACTTCAACAGCACATTCAAATTCTAATCTATGTAAAAAAACCCACTGTCTTGTTTCCGCTTCAGTTAATCGGAAAGCAAATCTACCATTCTGCTATTGTAAACTTATATAGCCATATCTCAATCTGCAAGCAACAAAAAAGGTTTTGACTTTAGAGTAGGTTAACTGTTTGGAGGAAAATAAGTTCATACGGTCTGAAAAGTCTAATTTACTGATAATAGAATCACTAATAGGTCAATCATCTATCAAATATCAAAAGCAGAACTTCTTCCCTGAATGGAAAATCTCATCTTCTTTACCCAATAGAATCTCACCTTCTTCACACAACAATCTTAAAGAGTCACCGCATCCTCCAAACATGTTCTTTGCGCAGGAAAAGCCAGGCAAACAGGACAGAGAGGTGAAGGAGAAGACTTCTATCTTCTGATTTATGTAAAACCTTTTGTTATTACAATTCTCTCTAGTCCCACATCCTTCTCAACTTCCTACTTTGAATGGAGAAATGTCTTCAACAAAAGAATGCATCTTCTACTAGGACCAGTTTATGGACCTGTCTGTTTTACTTGTGCACTGACCTCACTCTCACCTCTAACCTTCTCTGACAGGTGGGCAGTTTCTTCCCCATTTTCAGAAGTCAGCAGTCTTTACTTGTAACTTTTTACATGGCAAATAAGTGCCCCCAACAACCAGCTAATGCACCTCAAATAAAGGATGATTTTCCCTGATGTCCTACCTGCATTTTCCTTTTACACTTTAACCCTTTTGTGTCTTAGGTGTTTCTTCTTGAAGTAGTTCCAATTCATCCTAGCTCCTTAAAAGCTTCTTTAATCCAACTAAAGCCAAAGTTGACAAAAAGAATGAGGATGCCACATAGGAGTGTTGCTGAGGCTCTTCACTCAACTTGCCCAGCATTTGTCTTTCTTTTTTTTCCCTTGAAGCATCCTGAAGTGAACACAATACTACAGCTCTGAGCACACTCCTGACCTGGGAGAGATGTGGACTTTCACCTCCCTCTAAGATCTGATCTTCTATTGGGCACAGAATATTAGTTTATGCACACATCCTATCTCTACTGCCATGGCTATATATGGCCAGTTGGGCACGCAGATAGAAGAATCATATCTGCTTGTGAAGGCTTATCTCAAGAAAGCCCATACTCAGTAGTTGAAAGCAGAGACAGTGGTATCAGAAAGTAAAGGCATCATCGCAATGATACATTTGAGAGATGCAAGAGACTGCATGTGATCAAAGAGATACAAAATTAAGAAAGACGTTTGCTATGGTTATAGGCAAGAGTATGCAAACTAGAACACCAGGTAATGATACAGTATCAGGATGTAAAAGGCAAAGATTGGTTATACTTGGAATAACAAAAGTTATTTTCTGGATGTTTTCCTTCTGATGTTACATTAGCATTAAGAAGGGAGAGAAAGCAGGTGTTAGCCCTTCATTAGCACTGCTCCGTGCAGGAACTCCTCTTGCATTACGTGACACACTTACAGACACGAATTGACTGAGCTGCCATCAGTTAGATCTGGGCTACATTTTCACCGCTTTAGTCTCCCTTTAGCTGATTAGGCATTTGCTTTCTCAAGAGTATTAAGAGTGGCTATAAACTGCTCTTCCACTTCTGTTGCCACATCACTAAGAATTATGCAGTGGAGTCTGCCTAGTATCAGAGTTATCAATTTTCAAAACGAATCATCTATTCTAGTGCAATACAGTTTACTTCAGTACTACTCCTTCCTTTCATGAAAGATGTCTGCCTGTTTCTGGCATCTGGTCCTGATGTGCTTTTGAGAAGCCTGAATAACCTCTGATTACCAGTAGTGACTCAGTGTTTAAAAAAAAAAAAAAAAAAGAAAAAACAACTCACCCAA